TAGAAAACATGCTGGGTCTTCCTATTGGTGGAGGCCGTATTGTTGGAGAAACACGGTAGATAATTTGGAGTGATACAATTATAGTTATATTATGTTATATTACATTATGGATAGTAGATATGGATTGTGGATTGTAATCCAAGTTTATAATGTTCTTATATTTCACACTAAAAGAAGAATAATTTGGCATGATTTCATCATGAAAAATATTGTCAAATATCTAGTAGCAGCATGCATGTGGATGTGTGTATTTTAAAAGCACATTCTATATTAATATGTATGTACATATTGACAGGCAGTTAAAAGATGGTGCACAGTGCTATATGAAGTAGAATGGGAAAATATTACTCATTGATTTAACAGTCAAACTACTATGCTAATAAGTTTGATTTACTTTTTAAAGTACCATTACTCCCTTGCTCTACAATCAGATGTGAAAAATTTAGGAAATATAGGAAAGCGAAATAAATAATATGACTTGGGACACAATAAGAAATTGTAACCAGGATTTCACAGATTTTTTGCTGTGTTGTTTGGATATGTAAGTTTTTATATCTAATATATTGGAAGGACAATTGGGGGGGGGAGGGTATTAAATTGAAATATCAATTAAAATGATTTCTAAAAACAATATTTTCTAAAATAAAAAAAATCTGATAACCCATATGCTACAGTGCTCAAGATATTGGATTATGAGCAGGCATTGTTTGTTTGTTTCTAACCATTTAGCCACGATCAACTTTTGGTGACTTTATAGGAAAGTGCTCTTCACGCTACCCTGTCAAGCACAGCTTCTTTCAATTCTTGTATTTTAAACCTTGCATCAGATTTGATCTTATTAAGTCAGCATGTTCTTTCCTTTCCCCTTCTCCTTTGTCCACTAACCATTCCCGGCATCATTGCTCCCTCCAATGAATTCACATGCATAACATAGCCAAAGAAAATCAGTCATAGACTTATGATTTTAGCTTCCAATGATGTGTCTGGTTTTATACAATTTAACACCTCTCTGTTAGTTACTCTGCAATAATTTACAGCAGCAACACAGTTCAAAAGCACCAATTCTTCTTCGATCAACCATTCTTAGTATCCAACTCTCACACCCATGCATACATGAGTGGCAAACTAAAGCCACAAAAATTGACCTCAGCCACAAAAACTGACTTTCCCTCATCCCTTTTAACCCATAAGGTTGTAGAAATAAAATGTATGACGTTTCCTTGTAATTATTATTTGCCTTGACTCCTTGGGAAGAGAGAATATATCCTTAATGAGTAAATCACCCTGAGCATATTAAAGGAGGATTGTATCATACAAATTTACAACAGTATGACTCTTAGACCTACATATTGACTCCTCCGAGGTCCCTTCTAACCCTATGATTGTGATGTAAGACATTAAGAAGTTACAAAGAAATGGTCTGATTTCTTAGACCAGGGATGTCAAACTCGCGTCATCATGGTGGCATCATATGACATATCATATTTTTTTTCCCTTCACTAAACGAGGTGTGGCCAGCATGTGACGCATCTGGCCCATGGGCCATGAATTTGACAGCCCTGCCTTAGAACAAGGGCCAGAAAGTTTGATCTAATTTGTGTTTGCTTTTTTTAAAATCAACCTGATAACAACTCCAACATTTAATTATTGAAGAGTCCCATGATCCCACTAGTTGCCAATTGGACATATCTAAAATAAAATCATGCAGTTAATACTAAAGAAGCTCATATTTTGAACAGTTCATCATCAACGTAAATAATAGTTGCAAGATGAAAAAAATCTGGTTCTCCAGATGTT